ACAGAGAGAGACATAGAGACAGAAAGCGAGAAATCACCCCCCAGGGGGGATGGCCACGCCGCAGTCCCTTCTCCTCCATTCTCCTCTTGGGATCTTGGGCACGCATGCACACGCGCCCGGCGTGAGTTTTAAGCCACCGGGACCAGGACGCGAACCGCGGTCGACTACGTGGGAGTCCAGCAACATAGCCATTACGCCAACTGCTGGTTCCCCTATGTTATCAATTTTGACTGGTCAGACGTTTTTTGAAAATTATTTTATTTAGCTTTATTCATTCATTCATACATACGTACGTACGTGCATACATACTTACCATAGAGGGACAGAGCAAGATAGAGGAAAGGTCTGGGACTCAAACCGTGGTTGGCCATGTAGGAGGAGTCCAGCGCCCCTAACCACATCACCTGTTCACCCCCAGACTTTTTAAAAAATAATTATTTATTTAATTTTATTATAAAATTTGCTGTAGGACATGTGTGTTCGCCAGAGGGGAAGGGAGAGAAAATGAGAAAGCAAACCTGCAGGTCCATGATTTGGACTGGTCAGCCATGTGGGAGTCCAGAGCCTTACCCATTAGGCCACCTACTGGCCCTGACTTGTCAGACTTTTGAGAGAAATAGAGAGACAGTGCATGCTCTAGTACTCAGTATTATTACTGGGCTCTGTGACTATACCAAAGTACTGCTTGGATGTGTAATCTGTCAGAATTTTGGAGATATACAGAGCTTACCTGTTTTTTTTTTTTTTTTAATTTGCTATAGGATGCATGTGCTTGCTGGAGAGAGACAGAAAGAGAGGGAAAGTGAGAAAGCACCCACTAGGGGGCATGTCCATGCCACAGTCCCCTTCTCTCAGGGTTCTGGGCACACTGCACACATGCCTGCCATAGTTTTCCACGTGCATACATACTTACCATAGAGGGACAGAGCAAGATAGAGGAAAGGTCTGGGACTCAAACCGTGGTTGGCCATGTAGGAGGAGTCCAGCGCCCCTAACCACATCACCTGTTCACCCCCAGACTTTTTAAAAAATAATTATTTATTTAATTTTATTATAAAATTTGCTGTAGGACATGTGTGTTCGCCAGAGGGGAAGGGAGAGAAAATGAGAAAGCAAACCTGCAGGTCCATGATTTGGACTGGTCAGCCATGTGGGAGTCCAGAGCCTTACCCATTAGGCCACCTACTGGCCCTGACTTGTCAGACTTTTGAGAGAAATAGAGAGACAGTGCATGCTCTAGTACTCAGTATTATTACTGGGCTCTGTGACTATACCAAAGTACTGCTTGGATGTGTAATCTGTCAGAATTTTGGAGATATACAGAGCTTACCTGTTTTTTTTTTTTTTTTAATTTGCTATAGGATGCATGTGCTTGCTGGAGAGAGACAGAAAGAGAGGGAAAGTGAGAAAGCACCCACTAGGGGGCATGTCCATGCCACAGTCCTTTCTCTCAGGGTTCTGGGCACACTGCACACATGCCTGCCATAGTTTTCAAGCCACCCTGTCCAGGATGTGAACCCGGACTGTGTGGGCTCCAGACACCCCAGCTGTTATGCCACAGGCTGACCCTTAGCTACTTTAAAGATGTTTGGCATGGTTTCATAGAGACTGGGCTCAGAAAGAGAGTGAGCGGGAAAGCAGATGGCTGTCAGCGCAGGGCAGTCGGAGCTCCGTTAGGTGAACTGAGGGTGAGCTAGGAGTCGAGGTGATGAGGCCGAGCTGGCAGGGTGTTGGCAGTAGGACTAGAGTTGGGAAGAGCGAAGCATCTCCAAGGTCTGACGAGTTACTGGACACAGCAGCATGGGAACTGTCTGTGATGGTGCTGTTTTGTGGTCCTTTGCTTGTGGAACTCCTCGGAGCAGCCTGGGATTAAGAGGGGAGCCTGGACTAACAGAACGGTGCAAGTATGCCATTGATATTGAAGCTGGCGGGCACTCAGCTCCAGGGACCCTCGAGGGCTTTAGGTGCATGAGGAGAAGAAGGGGCTGGGAGTGCCCTGCAGTGGTCTTGTCACCAGGCTGATACGTTAATACGGGAGGACAGAAGGGATAGCTGACAGGCCTGAGCAAGAGGGTGAGGGTCAGAGTGAGGGCCGTTCTGTGACTGGGACAATTGTGAGTATGGGACAGTGGCCTCCGAGGTGGTTCAGGATGGCCCAAGGGGATTCTTGTTGCTGCCATTCTGGTGACACACTGAAATGACAGAAAAATGTATGAGTTCTCAGACCCTACCAGAAAATTTCTTTCATTAACAATTTCACTTGACATTGTACAATATACTATATAGTGGTCCTAAGATTCTTCTAAGCTTTTCTTTATCTTTTTCTTGAGCACTAAATATTTGGGAAGTTTTAAATTGCATATGGTAGTTCTGTTCACTGGGATTTCTGATTAGTCCAAACATTCTGTCCTCTAGCCGTGTATTATCAGCTCACTGGGGAAGTCGTGGTCTGCTTTCCTGTTTTCTCTGCACGTGCGTGTCGTGACTTTCCTAACAACCCCATAGTTTATCTGACCTAGTAAAATTTAAATTTGAATCTGTGCTGAAATAAGCACAATGTTCTTAAATGTTTCTTTTAATAATTGGTTTTTTAAGTTTATATTTTTAATGTTTTTAATAAATGGATGAAATATTTATTGGAAGATAAATGAACACTAATGCCTTAAACATTTTTGCAGATGAACAGGAAGATGAAGATGCCATAGTCAACAGGATCTCGTATGTATTTTCTGTTGTAATTCTCATAAATTCTCAAAATTTAATTCTAATTTTTGGACAGAAATATGGAAAAAAATTCACCTATATCATTGCAACATTTTCATTAGTGTTAATTCTACCCTTGGAAAGCACCTGTAGGCAAATATATTGGATCATTGAGGGTTGAATATCTCTTGGTAAAATTAGTTTATTTCAGGAATTGATTGGTTTTATCACAAGAGGATTTAGTGAGGAAATGGGCTAAAGTTTGGGGAATTGCCAGGTCATAGAGAGAGAGCTTGTGGCTGCTCGAACGGCCTGCTTAGAAGGCGGTGCTGGTTTGGAAGCGAGGAGCAGGCGTTTCTTCTCTAGCACGCTGACCTGCTGGAACTCGGGCCAGGTTGACTTTAGTGCCTTATGTCCACTGCTGGGGTACGATAGAAAGGGCCCTTTATTTATTTACTTTTAAAGATATTAAACACGGTAGGAAGTAGCGAATTCCCTTTTTTTCTCTTTTGCTTTATTAAAATGTGAAATTACACAGATCTGTCTGCATAGGAGAATGTCTGTATTTTTAGTTCTTTTTTTATTGATAATTTAGAAATGTTTTGAAATACTGTCAAATTTATAGGACAATTAGAAGAAGATTTCAAATAGCTTTCTAAACCCTGAACTATGGGGTACGTTGCTGACCGGACGCTGCATGTTCTCAGGGTATTTTCGTGTGTAATTCCCACAAACAGCGCATTCTCCTACATGTCCACCATACACCGTCTAAGCAGTGACAGTCACACGATAGAGTACTGCTAACACCTGTTCACACTTAGCAGTCGTGCTAAGAATGTCCTTACAGCTGAAGGGTCCGGTTCAGAGTCGCACAGTGCGTTGAGGCGGAGCGCTTTCTCAGTGCCTTCTCTACCCTCCCTCAGCTTGGTGCTGGTGGAAGTGCAGGCCAGCTCTTCGGTTCTGCCTGCGCATCTTCACGACTCACATCATATGATGTGTGCTGTGCTGAGAGAACGGAGAGCAGTAAAGGGGAGGAGGAGTCTGCACACATGTGAACACGTGCTTTCACACGCATGGAACACCAAGACATGAGTACGTGCCACAGTGCAGGTGACCCCTGAACACGCTAAATGATAGAGGCGAGACAGAAGGTCACTGTGTGGTTCCAGCTGTAAGAAAGTCCCGGGAGAGAAAAGTCTGCTGAAAGCAGATTGCGATCGCGAGGGGCTGAGGGAGGAGGGGAGTGCAGAGTAGCTGCTTCCTGGGGATGGTGTTTATTTGGGGTTTTGAAATGTTTTGGAATTGGAAGTGGTAGTTGTATAACACAGTGGATGGACTAATTTCACTGAATTGTTCACTTAAAATGGTAAGTTTTGTGTAATATGCATTTTGCCTCATTAAAAACATGCATTCAGCTCTTAATTTGAATACACTAAAAACTGTCTATTCAGTAACTCAGGTTGGGTGCTTGGTGCACTGTAGGTCTGCAATCTGTGTTGCCTCCCTTCTCTCCTAACCCTCTCCTTGCTTTACCTTCTCCCATGGAAGGGAGCTGGGGTTGGGCTAGAGACTCGACAGGATGAAGGAGGGAGAGACCGTGCTGAGCTCTAGAGGGAAGGGCAGCTGCCGTCTGCTGGGAGTCAGCCACGCCCTGAGCCAAGGTGCTCGCAGACACCATTTGGCTCCTCAGGGAGAGATCCCTGAGGCCAGCACGGCTCAAGTACGCACGTGGAGTGGAGGAGCCTTTTCTTGGCCATTCTGACCTCTCTTTTAGAGCCCACGTCCAGTCTCTCTGTCCTAAAACGGCCCTTCTGCACTGTCTGTGTCTGTCACGCTCCCTCCGCCCCTCGTATCCAAAAGTATGCTTTCTGATACCTGCTCTTACCTCAGTAGCTCATTGTCTTTGGATTAAGGCGGTCGCTATAAAATATAATGCCTGATTGGTGAAACTACCTTTAAGGATGACTTGTGAGCCTGAGGAAAGCAGGGTGTCCATGCAGGAGGGAGGCCTGGCATGGGGCGGGGTTCAGAGCCCAAGGGAGTGTGGAGAGCCCCACATAGGTTGGCCTGCCAGGATGTCAGAGCCTGAGCAGGTGAGGAGGGTGTCCGTGCAGGAAGGGGCCTGGCATGGGGTGGGATGTCAGGGCTCAGCCAGGAAAAGAGGGTGTCCCTTTGTCACACAGACCTGGTGGGGACTTATGTGAGCAGGGGGATGTGTGTCTATCCAGGGCGGGCATGTCAGTGCCACAGGAGACTGCTTACATAAGCCCTGTGGACCGTTACAGGTGGTGTGAACTGGGTGCCAGCAGGGGACAGGGAGAGAGTGAACACCGAGTTGGATCAGAATTGGAGGCATCGGTTGGAACTCACACTGTTCAACTCTAGAGAGTTGCAGAACTCTGTGTGTGTACTGTGTACATGCGTGCAGAGCAGAGGCTGTATTCCCTAGCTCTGTCTGTCCACTGGGGTGCCCGGGAACATGGCTTCCCGATACCGGTGAGTGTACTTCGCACCCAGGTCTTCACTTCTCAACACAGTTTGCTGCCACACAGAGCCAGGCTCCTTAGAGCAAGGCTGGTTGCAGGGCTAGGCAGGGGAGCGTCGGGGGCTCCTGTTGGAAGATCCTGTCTTCAGAATCTGGCTGTGGTCTTACCAGCTCCTCTGCACCCATCTTTCTGAGTCCATCATCCCTGTTCAGGCGCCTCCTGGCCAGTCTCGTCGCTTTGTCCTTGCCTGTGGTCACAGTGCAACATCAGCAAGGTCACGCCCTTTCCTGCCCAGAACTCTGCAGACGCGGTATGGTCTCCGTCCTACCCCTCTGTCTTCTCCACGACCATTCCACCCTTTCATTGGGGCATTCCAGGCATAGCTCGTGCTCTCCTGGAAGACTGACCAGGCTCTGCCTTAGGGCTTTGGTCCTGCCCTGGCGGCCCAGCGTGCTTTTGTATCAGACGTCCCAGTAAGTGCATTCTCTCAGCCCAGGGGGTTTTGTCTAGCCCTTTCCCTAAATATCAGCTGCTCAGCGAGGTCTGCCCTGACCCCTGTGTGTTCTCCCCTCCAGTCCTCACCTTCTTTTCTCGTGGCACTTGCCATCTTTAATATGTTACACAGTTGTATGTTCAATCTGTTGTAGGTTTTTTGTATCTCTAGGGCTGTTACAATGCTGCAATGTAGTGGGTTCGGGTAGTGTTTTGTTGGAACAGCCAGCATTATAGCCGTGGTGACCGGCTTGTCAGGGTCTCCCGAGTTAAATGTGGCTTTGGCCATTTCATCCATTGACCCCCGTGAACGCACTCCCTTTGGCAGACCACGGGGTCCAGTTTTTGATCTGGGAACGGTGGCCACGCTATTATAGGAGCCACAAGGAGGGGACCTCATTCTGCTGAGAGGAGCACGAAGGGAGAGGCTGAGGAATGCTGTCCAGGACAGAGGGTTTGGGTTCGTCTTGACATTCGTGCATGAGTTTGCCACACAGTGTCGAGGACACCTGGGGGAGCACAGCACACAGGGCACCCGCTGTGTGTGGCGAGGGGAGTCGGAGCATGTTCTGGCCTGTGTCCTGGAGAGAGAAAAGCCTGGAGAAGCTTGTGGGAACGCTGCACAGGCTCTGGGGCGGTGGCCAGATTGTGGGGTGATCTGCTTTAGCGTTGCAAGCAGAGGGAGCTGTATTGGAGCTGCTGGCCACCCCTGGCTGGTCACAGCTGGAGTTGGCCGCCAACCCGAGGCCAGGACTTGCCTGCGTGCTTTTCCCAGGACCTGTGTTGTCTGGCAGGACTGACGCAGAGAACGGCCGCGGCGGCTGACTCGAGCTGTGCCTTTGGTATCTCCCCGCGGTCTCTATTACACGCAGTGGTCTACCGAGCAGGTTTTCTGGTTCTTTGGTTGTTTTTGACTTTTAAGTAGGGCTACACTTCTGTTGGTTGCCACAAGATGGCATTAGCCTCAAAGTTACAAGATTAGATGTGTATTTTGGGCGTTTAGTACGTTTTTTTCCTGACATTTATTTTCATATCCCCCGTTATTAATCTTAATGATATGGATATTAAATTAAGGTTCTAGCTCTGATGTTACTGAAGTTACCTTTTCCTTTGCATTTTATTCTTTGAGATTCTTTTTAAAAATTAGATACTTACTGTAAAAATTTTAAACGTTTCAGGAATGTTTAACTGACAAGGTGAAGGAAAGTGTTTAATAGTTTACTACTCTTTACTGCAATGCATTATTTAACCTTTACCTGTTTTCAGAGACATCAGGCCAAGGGCTTTGTGAACTTTTTTCCCCTCTGAAATAACCATTTTAACTGAATTTTGCTTTCACAGGTTTTTTTTCACCTGAAACAGTTGTTACATTGCCATTAACATGTATTATCAGAGTTGTTAATTAAACTTATTGTGGAATAAATACTTACATTGAAACGAGTGAGATTCAGTCTGTGCTTTGTAAAATGTACGAAGCACTTTGTCTTCAGTTCACGTGTCTTTTAGGGCTTACCGTTAGACTTCTTTTATAGAGTAAGTAGTTTTAGAGTTTGTCCAGTTTAACTCCCACGGTCATACCTGTGTTGTTTGCCTCCCAACGTTTGTAGGTAGTACATTTTCAATTAGGAAATGGAAGATGTGTTCTTTCTGAATGACTTTCATGTCCACTGCGTTTTCAGTTCACTGACGACATGTCTTTTCTCTCTTCCAGGTTATTTTTGAGCACATTCACTCTAGCAGTTTCAGCTGGGGCTGTTTTGCTTTTACCCTTCTCAATAATCAGCAATGAAATCCTGCTTTCTTTTCCTCAAAACTACTATATTCAGTGGCTAAATGGCTCCCTGATCCATGGTTAGTATATATTGCTTAATACAATCACAGTTAATGTTTCGATTTTTTACTGCTCTGTATTTTTAGCTTTGTCTTTTCTTAATTTTCTTTATAATTTGCACCTTTCTGCAGTAAACCATTTGGATCTTAAATGAAGTCAGAAAACCACGTTCGACTTACCGCTCCTGTTCTTAGTTGTGAAAGACTTTTCTCTTTCACTTAATTAATAGGCAGCTTTTACATTTACTATGATCTTGATAAATAAATTTCCCTTTAGCTATTTAGTGAGGGAATTTTGGTTTACCTGTGTGTCAGAAGAAATCAACATACATTCAGGACTAAATAACCGCAGGCATAGTTACTATTTTTATTTATTTGCTATTAGTCTCTTTATTTGCTCGCAGTTTCAAAATATATGCTAGAAGGTGAGGGACACTGCCTGCCAAGCGAGTCTGCGCTCTGCCACACTGGGGCGGCTGGGGTGGGCCCTGGCTGGGTACCTTAGCTGGTCAGCTGCTTGGAAGCAGGGAGCCCTGCAGCGCAGACTTGCAGTTGCTGCTCCCCCGACCTCGAGGTCCTGGCCTCTCAGTCGGGATGGGAGCAGAACCCACCTGGCAGGCCTGCTGTGGGGTGGGAAGGGTGTGCGCCAAGTGCCTGCCTGTTTCTTTGTAGGCACTCTGTAGGTACTACCTGTTGATGACAATTATTTAGGTTATGATGTATTTTTATTTTTGGAGGGTCTTATTTACTTTTACATATTAATTTACTGTGTATATACTGAGCTCTTTGCTTTTGTAGAATGTTCTGGCATAATTCCCTTTTTGGAGGAGTGTTAACATTTTTATAATTACTTGTTAGGATTGATTACAGCTTCGGTTTTTCTGTCTTTCTTGCTCATGCCCTCTTAATTTAGCAGTGTTGTTAATTGCTGTTACTAGTTACTGCAAGTGCTGATATTTGACTAGTTTCATTATTGGTGTTACTAGTTTTAATAGCTATTTTATTTTAGATACGTAATTTGATAGTTATATAGTGGGTTAGATAAATTATTTTTCTTTCTGTTTCTTTGTTTTGAAGTTTCTCCTTTCAGGAGCGAGAAGGGGAGGGCGCCTCTGGCAGGGTCAGCTCTCCATCTTCACTCAGCCTCTCTGCTGGTGGGGTCTCGGGTTTGCTCAGGCACATCTGGTGAGTCAAGGTGGGCTCAGCCCTGCAGAGGCCTGCCGTGTGGCTCTGGTGTTGTGCAGTGGTGCCCTTCTGTGACAGAATCAGGGCACCTCATTTTCAGAGGGATCTTCACAGGTGCCTAAGTCTCAGGTGCCTAAGTCTCGTTTCCTCTGTTTGAATGCGAAACACATTTGTAATTAGTGGCGACAGTCTTTCTGTGAAAGTGGCATATGTATTCATTTATTTTTTGCCAGAGGGCATGTGCACTCACCAGAGGGTGACAGAGAGGCCGAGGGAGAGGAAGAAAGTACCCCTCAGTGGGACGGGGTTACTCCACAGTGTCTGCCCCTCCTTCTGTCCGTCCTGCTGGGAATTTGGGCACGCACTCCCACATGCACGATGCGTTTTTCAAGCTGCTGGGACCGGGATGCAAATCGTGCAATTTGCCCTGTGGCATCTAGCACCCCTAACCCTGGCTGGCCACGGGGCCAGCCCAGTGACTGACATAGTATCTTAAAGAAGAGTAGTTCATGACAATTTGTTGTGGACTTCAATTTCTTCATTTCATTTTTTTCTTCCTTTCTAAGAGAGAGGTAGGAAGATGGAGACAAGATAGGTTTTTATTTTTTTTTCCTTTTAAGATTTTGCCATAGGGCGTGCGTGCTTGCCAGAGAGAAATAGTGAGAGGGAGAGGGAGAGGCCACCCCTTCATCCGGGGACGGCCGCTTTGTAACCCTGCCCTTGCTCTTCTCCCAGGATTTTGGGCATGCATGCACACATACCCAGTGTGCTATTTATGCTGCCAGATCTGGGACTTGAACCATAATTGGCCATGTGGGAGTCCAGTGTACCTAAACCAGTATGCCACGTGCTGGCCCCCAGTATAGGTTTTTTTTTTTTTTTAAGATTTATTTTTTTTAGAATTTTATTTAACTTTCTTTCTTTCTATTGTTAAATTTGACCAGAGAGGCACACACGCACACACACACAGCGAGAGAGAGTGAGAGCGAGTGAGCAAGCAAGCTGACAGGTGGGAGTCCAGTGCCCTTAACCACTGTGTCACCTGCTGGTCTCCCCCCCCCCCCTTTTTTTTTAAAGAGGTATTTGCTACAGGGCGTGTGCACTTGATGGAGAGACAGAGACAGACAGAAAGCAAGAACCAGCCCCCCTCCCCGGGGTGGGGGAGATGGCCATACTGCAATCCCCTCTCCATTCTCCTCTCGGAATTTTGGGCATGCATGCACATGTGCCTGGCATAAATTTCAAGCTTCCAAGCCCAGGATTTGAACCACAGTCTACCACATGGGAGTCCAACGGCCTTATCACTGCTACCTGCCGACCCCAGATAGGTATTCCTGATCAAGTCTCATGTCATAGTCCTCCTGCCCCAGCTGTGAGTCAGCCAGGGTCACAGGTGCACACAGCTGAGCTGTACCTGACCTGTTCAGGTTGGCCGAGAACTGAAGCTGGGCCTTGATGTAGCTGCCAGCCTCCTTTCGTTTCTTTTTCTTTGCTTTCTTTTTTTCATTTTAAAGATACAAGGTTTCTGGTAGTGTTTACTCTTTTCTTAATAAGAAATTAGTCGTAAATGTCCTCTTTGAACAATAGTTAATTGTTTAATCTACAGAAACTTGCACCAAAGAGAGCTTTTTTCCCTTGAATTTACGGTGTGGGTTGCAGACGTGGAGTTCTGGGGTAGCACGTACGTTGCCCGTGTGCTGTTACGTGAGGCCTGTGTTTCGTTTGCTCTCTGGCGTTTGGAAACACTCTGAGTGTGACACAGGGCTGCTCGCTTTGCCGTGAGAGGCTGTGCTGCTTTAGGGTGTGGAAGAGAGCAGGTTCCGGCGGAGAGCCCGTCAGTTCCGCGTGTCCTGTCTGAGAAGTTAGAGTCCACTTGTTGGTGACATGCTTTTGTGCCCCTTAGGCTCCTACTGAGAACACAGCCCTCATGCTAGGAACGGCACCAGCACCAGGCTGCTCCTTACCCTGTCCTTATCCTGGGTGTGATTACGTGCTCGCTTTTGAGCACATGAGGAATAAGATGAGCAAGATCACATACTCCACAGCAAATCAAAGAGGAAAAAGATGTAAATTGTGTGTGCTATGTAACATACACACATGCACTGAAAAAAGGGAATTTTCTTTTCTGTGTATCGGACTGCATAGTCGGCCACGTGGGATCCACCTACCTTAACCACTGTGCCACTGGCTGGACCCGCAGTTTACATCCTAAAACATTTAGTACTTGAATGTTCTCCATGCCCGTCAGTGTCCTTGGCAGGCCTTTTCAGTGGCTCCTCGTAACCCATGTATGTAGCAGGACTTTAACCTAGTGTTTTCAAAGGTGACACTGTTTTGAGGAGTGGGACCACTTATTCCTCTAGTCACTTACTACATTTTTTTCCCCCATATTTGAAATAGACAACAGCCAAGTTGTTCCCTAGTTACTAAACTCATGTTTTCCTTTCTGTGGAAGATTTCTTTTCTCCTTTTCCTTTCTTTTCCTTTGCCAGGGGGCGCGTGAGCTTGTTGGAGAGAGGGAAGGTGAGGAGGAAAGCACCCCCGGTGGGCATGGCCCCTCACAGGCCCTGTGCGTTTGGGCACGCGTGCACATGCGCCTGCCCTGCTTCTCGAGCTGATGGGTCTGAGATGCCAGCCCCACAGGGCGGTGTGGCATCCAGCTGCCCAGTCACCGTGCCAGACGGGCCTAGGGCACTTCATGTAGCCATTCCCCTGTTGAGATCTTGAGGATTTAAAAATTTAAAATAATATTTGGGTTTCCGACAATTTACTTAGATGATAATTGGAATGAAAATGACAGGGCCAATGAATGTTACGCCTGAACCGTTTTCTAGAGCTACTTATTTGTATGCTCCCGACAGAGCACTAAGGTGCCTTTTGTTCCAACCAGCCCAGCAGCTCTGAGTACTCATGTTTAAATCTTTGCTGGTTTTGGTTTGTCGGGCGGAAAGTGGTTTCTTGTCATTTTAATCCTTAGAAAGTTTTAGTAAGGTAGAGCATTTTAATTTGTAAAATAAAGGTTTCTAATACATTTTATTTCATATCCTTTGCCCATTTTTTTTTTAATATAATCTCCTTTGTAAAAAAATCAGCTTTGGATCCAGTTTTTATGAATATATTTTTCTAGCTGCTATTTTTTAATTTTGCTTTTCTGATTTCCAGAACTCTTTTTTAAGTTTTTTTTTCCCCCCATCTGTCATAGGATGCATGCGCTTGCGATAGAGGGTCAGAGAAAGACAGTGAGAGGGGAAGTAAGAAACCCCCAGGGGGATAGCCACACTGCAGTTTCTTTTCCTCTGTCCTCCTGGACTTTGGGCATGCACGCACACACACTTGGTGTGATTTTCAGGCTGCCAGGTCTGGGACTAGAATCTGATCGGTCCTGTGGGAGTCCAGCACCTTAGCCCTTGGCCTCCTGCTGGCCCCAGTTTCCAGAATTTTAATATTTTTTGTTGCATGATCTTTTTCTTCCTTTAGTTTTTCTGATACTTTTTGTGTTTAAAAGATCTTTTCTCATTCTAAAATGAGAAAAGTGAAAAATACCACTTTTTTCTTGTTTTGCGAATTGTTTTGTTTACACTTGACTATTTAATCTATCTGTAGTCTACCATTCATTGAATATTTCATCTTTTCTTCACTGATTTTTTTTAAAGAATTATTTAACTTTATTTATTTATTTTAATTTGACCAGAGGACAGTGTGGGGCGGCAGGGGGTAAGAAAGCAAGCCTCCAGGTCCCAGACTCATACTGCAGTCAGCCATGTGGGAGTGTAGCACTTTTAATGACCACGTCACATGCTGGCTCCTTCACTGATATTTATAGTGCACATTTTTGA